AAAAAAAAAAAAAAAAAAAAAAAAAAAAAAAAAAAAAAAAAAAAAAAAAAAAAAAAAAAAAAAAAAAAAAAAAAAAAAAAAAAAAAAAAAAAAAAAAGGTCAGGTCATATGATCCAACATCCCACTTTTGGGACTATATCCAAAAGAACTGAAATTATGGTATTGAAGAGATATTTGCACACTCATGTTCATAGCTGCTTTACTCAAAATAGCCAAGAGGTGTAAGCAACCCAAAGGTCTATGAATGAAATGAATGGATAAGCAAAATGTGGTATATGCGTGGAATGGAATATTATTCAGCCTTAAAAAGGAAAGAAATCCTGTCACATGATACAACATGGAGGAAACTTGAGGACATTACGCTATGTGAAATAAGCCAGTCATGAAAAGACAAACACTGTTTGATTCCATTTATATGAGGTACCTGAACTAGTCAAATTCATAGAGACAAGAAGAATGGTGGTGATTGCCAGGGACTGGGAAAGGGAATGCAGAATTGTTGTTTAATGAGTACAGAGTTTCAGCATTGGAAGAGGAAGAAGGTCTGTGGATTTGTTTCACAACAATATGAATATATTTAACTCTACTGAAATGTACTTTAAAAAATGGTTAAGTTTGTAAATTTTATGTTATGTGTTTTTTTTAATCACACACAAAAAATGACCTGGTCATGTGATACTAATGATGCAGGAACCAACAAGAAAGTGTCCCAATGGCCAAATCTGGAACAATTTGAGCAGCAAAATAGATAGTAATGGATTAATAGAATAAATAAATAAGTAAAAATAGAAAATATCCACATGCCTATACTGATATAAAATAAATGGGGGAAAAGAGAGAGCTCCACCATAATAATAATTGTTGCAGGAAAGAAAAATCAATGGATGTTAAATTTAAAATGGATGGGAAAAGTGACAATGAGAAAAAGGATGTTTTTATAGTCTCAAAGCATCACAAGATACTAATTAATTACAAAGGGAAAAATAGCAACTTTACAATAGAGAAACCTGGCAGACACTACCTTAACCAAGCAATCAAAATTAACTTCTCCAATGATGAGATTTATTAGCATCATGCGTCTTTCAATATGATTCACTGAGAAGGGCATAATATGACTTCTAGGGTATTCTTGCCAGAAATCCATAACTTAAGTTTAATCATAAGGAAACGTCAGACAAACCCAAATTGAGGGACACTGTTCAGAATAACTGGCCAGTACTCTTCAAAATTGTCAAGGTTGCAAAAGACAAAGACCAAGCTGTCCCAGATTAGAGGAGACTAAAGACCCATGGTGTTAAATGCAATGGGAGGGCTTAGATTGGATCCTGGACCAGAAAAAGGAAAACTGCTGAAATTTGAGTAAGAATTTCTAAAATAGTTAATGGTATGTGTTAGTTTTAATTTCCTGTTTTGATCATTTTACTGTGGTTATGTAGGATGTAAACATGGATTAGCTGGGTAACAAGCATAGGGGAACTCTTTGTACCATTTTTGTTACTTTTTTGTAAGTCTGAAATTATTTCAAAATGAAAAGTTAATAAATTAAATAATACTCAGGGGTTTGAATGGCTCTTCAGTATGAATCAACAATGTGATCTGGTGGCCAAAAAAGGAAGGAAGGAGGATCTCGAGTGAGGAATCTGCCTGTCTCCTTTACATTCACAGTATTGTATATTAGGTTCTAGGTGTGATGATGTTTTCAGAGAGAGAGAAAGAAGAAAGGAAGGAGGGAAGGAAGGGGAGAAGGAAAGAAGGGAGGGAGGGAGGGGGAAAGGAGAGAAGGAAGGACGGAGTGATGGATCCTGAGTGAGGAAGCTGCCCGTCTCCTTTACATTCACAGTATTGTATTAGTTTCTAGGTGTGATGATGGTTTCAGAGAGAGAAGGAAGGAAGGAAGGAACAAAGGATGGAAAGATGGATCTTGAGTGAGGAAGCTGCCTGTCTCCTTTACATTCAGCGTATTGTATTAGGTTCTAGGTGTGATGATTTCAGAGAGGCTTAGACCAGAACAGCAATAATACTTGTAACCATTTTATGTAAGGAATGGTTAACCTTGGCTTGCATCTCTGCATGTACCTGGGACCACTTGGGGAGTATTGATATACCTGTGTGCCACCCTCAGAAATTCTGACTGGTCTATGTGTGGGCCCAGACATCAGTGTTAGGCAATTATGTTTTAGCCAATGTCTAAGACGGTGTGCGGACAGGAGGAACACCCAAAATGCCTGCGGAGAGTTTCAGGTCCCTAGAACAGCACATTTTCGAGAATCACAAAAAAAACCCCTCCTCCTTCTTCCTCACCACCACCTCCTCTTCCTGCGTGCACGAATTTCTCCACCTATAGAAAAATCCCAACTCAGCTTAAACCCTGCTTGCTTCCCTCCCCTTTCTTCTTAGCCAATAGGAACAGTCCAGCCCAGCCTAACTGGATATAAAAGGCCCAGCCTGACTCTCCCTGCTGCTGCTCCCACTTCTGAGAGGGCAGCCCGCTTGTTCATTTTGCCTGCCTAATACACTTTTGGTTAAGTCCCTGGCTCCTGGTGTGTTTTGGTTTGATAAGCCAAAGCATGGTGGGTATATGGGGGGTAGTGAGTGAGGCTGGAGAACAGGCAAGGGCTAGTGCATGACTGACTTAAATAGCAGCTAAGGAGATTGGATTTTGTCTTGAGGATAACAGGAGACAAGTGATAGATTTTAAATGGGAATGTGTGGAGGGTGGGCTGAGGGTGATATTAGATATAGAGAAATTGGTTAGAAATTTTATCCCATAAAATATAATATCCTATAAAATGTAAAAATCAGATCCCAGCTGTTACCGTTAATGCCTTTTCTGGTCTGAACTCCTTTTCCTTAGACCATAGTTCACTCCAGAGGCACCCTTTACCTGGTATGCCTCAGGCAGTGCTTTGGCTGTGCAATGGGAGCAGATCTCGGAGCATTACATATCTTGGCTGGTCCCAGGGGACAGGTGTCTGGCCCATGTTAGGCAGAAGGTCCCCCACCTCTGTTCTACAGAGTGAGTTGTATAGCAAGAGACCCTTGGTAAATTCTTGGGCCAGTAAATGTTTTTACTGGGTTTAAATACCAGGCCTGCTGTGTCCTTGCTATGGGGACATTGGAGAAGTTACATAACCTCTCTGAACCTTATCTGTAAAATGGAGATAAAACTGACTCTTTTGTGCTTTTTTGAGAATTGAATCAGATGATGAAGAAAATAATAATGAGCATTTAGTAAGCATCAATTGTGTGTCAGGCTCCATGCCAGGTATATTCACTGGCTAATTAAAATGTGTGTGTTGGGCCAGCCTGTGGCTCGCTTGAGAAAGTGTGGTGCTGATAACACCAAGGCCATGGGTTCAGATCCCTATATAGGGATGACCGGTTAGCTTACTTGGAGAGCATGGTGCTGACAACACCAAGTCAAGGGTTTAGATCCCTTTACCGGTCATCTTTAAAAAAAAAAAAAAGACCCCCCCCCCCCAAATAAAAACGTGTAAAACAGTAAAAATAGTGTTTAGTTCATGGTAAGTACTTAATAAATATTAGATTCCTCCCCCCACTTCCTGATCATTGCACTTCCTACAATTTGTTGGTAGCTGATAGGTTATTGCCTTAGCACTGTCTTCCAAAGGACTTTATTCTCACAAATTGACAGAGAGAGAAAATAATGAAGATTTAATTTCAGCTCAGGAAGCAGCCAGTTAGTAATTTCCAACATCATTTCATTAAGGAAGTATTTGGGGCTTAGAAATCAACTGTACTTTAACGAAATTATAATTTAATAAAATTAGCCCTTGAACTTAATTTTTAGGTTCAAGTCTTGGGCTGCTACAGAAACCAAACAGAGCTGCTGCCTGGACTATGATATTGTTCATGTACTATTTTGATATTAGTGCCCACCTTCTGACCAAATAATCAGAATAAACATCTGAATACAAGCTCTGTTTGATGGGCAAAATGGAATATGTAGGTTGTCTGAGGGTTGGGATGAGTTAAATGACCCGGTTACCTAGATGCCTGATGGATATCTGATTATATGAGGCCCTAGATTTATTTAAAAGTAAATGAGGGCTGGCTGGTTAACTCAGTTGGTTAGAGCATGATATTGATAATACCACAGTACAGGATTCAATCCCTGTTACTAGCCAGGCGCCAAAAAAAAAAAAAAAGAAAAAAGGTAAATGAAAGTGCCTCTCAGTCTTCATAGACACTGCTTACCATAACCTTTCTTTTTCCTTCTTTGTGTAGGTTTTAGGTAACCAGATCCTCTTTGACAATCTAAAGCATGGATTAAAACTAACTCTGTAGCAATCCTAGGATTATGGGCTCAGGAAAATAAATCTTGAGCTGACTGTGAAATGATTTCACTTAAGTCTCATTTTGAAGAATGCAGCTGTGAGAGAGGCAGCTCTGAGCTTGGTTTATCATTTATTCCTGCTTCCTCAAGATCAATTCATATGAGCATCACAGTCCATTGTGCATATGCTACATGAGTGATTGTTCCCGAGAAGCATGGTGAATTACTGGCAGTAGTGATTACACTGGAAAACTGGTTGTGTTCTAGGCCCAACCCTCATCCCTGGTCAACAGAGAAACACTTGAAGAATGCAGGAGTCATAGTACTTGAAACACTCATCTACTTACCTGTGTCTACAATGTCAGCCAAGTCAGAGATTAGTTTATCCCTGGAGATTAGTGTAAAATGAGAGAATTTTAGAACTATCTAACCATGATACCAACCTTCTTCTTTCTTTTCTTAAAATCCCCTCTTTTTCCCTCTCCCTCTGGCTGTAGATTGCCCGATCTCAAATGCTACTTTAGAGGGTGCAGGACTATCTAACCATGATACCAACCTTCTTCTTTCTTTTCTTAAAATCCCCTCTTTTTCCCTCTACCTCTGGCTGTAGATTGCCCGATCTCAAATGCTACTTTAGAGGGTGCAGGGCAGGATATAAGATTAATATGCAACCTTTCTCTTATTTTCCTTTTTCATTTTCTAGCAACAGCTTCAGGCCTATGTGGCCTGGGTGAATGCACAGCTGAAGAAGAGGCCAGCAGTGAAGCCTGTGCAGGACCTGCGACAGGATCTCCGGGATGGGGTGATCCTGGCATATCTCATCGAGATTGTTGGTCAGTTCGCCCTGGACTCTGATGGTAGCGTAGACCAGAACATGTCCTTCCTTATCCTCCATATGTCCTTCGGAGTAGGTTGTTCCTTTAGAATATATGGAGATGAAAGTAGAGAAGACTTAAAATACTTGCCGAAGGTTAATTCACTTATTTATTAGTCAGGAAGCATTGTGTGCCAGGCACTGTATTATGCTTTGGGAATATGATAATGAGCACAGTCTTTGCTCTCAAGAGTCCCCCAATCTAGTTGGGAAGACTGGAAAGTAAGTCAATTCCATTAATGTACTTAGTACTCTGATGGAGTAAGCGCAGATGGGAGCACATAGGAGGGACACTTAGCCCGCCCCGTCTTAGCGACTCAGGGATGGCTTACCAGAAAAATTAACGTTTAAACTGAGGACTCCCACAAGAATTAATGTCTAAACCGAGGCCAGAAAAAGAAGTTGTAACCAGGCAAAAATAGGGTGTGTTACCAGCAAAAGGACCCCCCTCTATGATACTACCATAATGCCTCATAAAAGAGTTTTTTCTTTTAAAGGCTTGGAGTTGTTGCCAGTCATTTTTACTAGATGGTACCTATTTACATAGCATTTGTTCATAGCTCTGCTATTATTTCTCTCATTGAATGGTAATTATTTGTAGTAATCTATCTCTCCTGTATAGACCTTAAGGCAATGTACAGTTTACTTTTTTTCTGTTTCTACAACCCCTAACCAAGTGGACGTAATAGGTAGTCAAACATTTGTTGTTTTATTAGTCAGCTGACCTTGCTTAGAGTCCTTGAGGGACATGGAGCTTGCAAGTGGTATGGAAGAATCCGGGTTAGCAACAGGCAGCCTATCCATGAATCCCTCATTGGGACAGCTCATGAATTCCTCAGAGTATTAGATGTAATGATAATAACAATGGTAATGGTAATAGCAGCTGTCAGGATTGAATCCTTTCTGTCTTGTTTAATTTAATTTCATTTAATCATCACCCCTTGGGAAACAGATAATGTTATCCCCACTTTCAGAAAACAAACTTGAAAGAGAGAATTTATAAAAATAAACAAACAGATTCATTGAGTATTGAGTATGCATCAAGCAAAGTAGCTAAGTGTGCTGCTTTGATTTATTTATGATATTGGTAAAAACACGAGTACTACGTGTACTATTATACTCATTTTATGGGGTTTAGAGAGGCTAGGCAACTTTACAAGGTCACATAACTTTAACTGCCAAAGTAAAGATACAAACATAGATCTGCTTTAATTCCAAAGACCATTTTAAACATTTAATTTTCATTTATTTGAATAGGTTACACATGGACTGGCAGGAAATCCAGATGGTACAAAAGGATATAAAGTGAAAAGCCTTTTTCCACCTATGTCCCACTGCTAGCTATCCATTCTTCTTTCTGGAGGCAACCACTGTTAGCAGATTCTTGCAATTCTTTCCATAGGTGTTCTATGCATATAGAAGGAATATGAATAGGTATTCTTATTTTCCCAAAACCTGGGTTCTGAAGCACTACTTTCTATTGTGATTTTGCTATAGAGAAAAACTCACAAGTTTTTGTGTGTACTCACCAAATTCATTTCCTTATTTCCTATTTTTTCTTTAAACTGCGCTTATCTGGCTTTGGATTCCACTGCTCCACTGCGACTGCTTTCCTCAAGGTTATAACCCCCACCTTGTCAAATCCAGTGGCCATCAGTCCTCATTTTATTCGACTTGGCAGTACTTGACACAGTGGATCCCTCCCTTCTCCTTCAAAGACTGTCTTTTTACTTGGCCTCCAGAATCCTATAGACTTTTGGTTTTCCTCCCTCCTAATTGGCTTCTTCTGTTTGCTTTGCTGGCTTTTCTTTTCCTTCCTGATCTCTTAATGTTGGAGTGCTCCAGGTTAGTCCTTAGCCCACATATATTCTCCGCCCTAAGTGATCTCTTCCCAAATTTGTATCTTTAGCCCTGAATGTTTCCTTGAGTTCTAGACATGAATATCCAACTTCCTATTCAGTGTCTCTACTTGGATGTTTAATGTGCAGCTTCAACTTCGCACGTTCTAATCTCAATTTTGGATTTCCTACCAATCCCTTTATCCTCCAGGTTTTTCCATCTAAAGAATATATCTCATTACCATTCACTCATATATTCCTCATATATTACATCCAATCCTTTACATGTGCTGTCTGCTTTATATTCAAGATATACCCAATATCTGACTTCTCACCAGTCACCGTGTTCCGCTGTAGCCCCAACCATTGTTATCTCTTGCCTTGACTATTTTCATTACCCTCCTTTTTTTTAAAAAAAGATGACCGGTAAGGGGATCTTAACCCTAGACTTGGTGTTGTCAGCCAGTGAGCAAACCGGCCATCCCTATATGGGATCTGAACCCGTGGCCTTGGTGTTATCAGCACCGCACTCTCCCGAGTGAGCCACAGGCCAGCCCTTCATTACCCTTCTGACTGATCTCCTTCTCTGCATAGTCTATCCATACAGAGTTAACTTTTAAAAATATAAGCCAGATAATGTCACTCTTGTCTCAAACTCTCCACTGGCTGCCCCCCCATTACACTTAGGATAAAATTCAGGCTCTTTACTCTGGTCCACAAAGCCCTACATGACCTGGCCTTGCTTACCTCTCTGGCCTCTCTGAGGATGCTACTTCTTGCTTACTCTTCGGTAGCCATGCTGGTCTTGGTGCTGTTCCTCAGATCAGCTTAGCTCATTTCCACCTTGGGGTTTGTACCTGTGGTTCTTCAGTCTGGAATGCTTCCTCCTCAAATCTCAACATGCTTTACTTATTCAAGCCTCTGCTCAATTGTATTGTGAGAGGCCATGATCACTCTTTTTTATTTTTCTTTATGGCACTTATCACTACTAGGAAATCATGTTAAACATTTAGTTGTTAATTTGGTTATCTGTTACCCCCACAGATGTAAATTCTGTGAGGGAAGGAACTTTGTCTTTCTTGTTCTCTCCTATCTCTCTGGTTCCCAGAACAGTGTCTGACACATAGTGAGTGCTCAGTGAATAATTATGGACTGAATAAATGTACACACAGTAACTTCACAGGCCCCTGGGTTTAGATTTGAAAATTTGAAGACCCTCCAAAGGGCTTTTATTTTCCTATTCCCTATCCAAATTACAAACCCCAGGACTTAACTCACCTACATACTTATGTGTCATTTTAGTATTCACATCAAATACTCCCTTCCTCTGTGTCTGGCTGCTGTGAAACTTTGATAATATTCCTCCCTATAATTTCATATATCTTCTCTCTCCTAACAGCAGGAGAAAAGCTGAGTGGGGTACAGTTGAGTCCCAGTAACCAACAAGAGATGAAGAATAATGTGGAGAAAGTGCTACAGTTTGTGGCTTCCAAAAAGATTCGTATGCACCAGACTTCAGCTAAAGGTCAGTGCCTCATCACATCCTTGGTGGTTAGTATATGCAGCTTAACTGGAGCTTGTCAGTCTCAGGAAAACCCTTTAAGTTGTAAGCCAAGGGTTTGGAGTAGACTGGAGCAGGATCAGGCTCCTGGCCTCATATATCATTTTTCCATAAAGAAAGTTATCCTTTTGGGATGGAGTGATTATCAAAATCTGAGTGCTTTGGAAATCTGAGTGGGGATAAAAGTTCTGTATTTACTTTAATTAAATACAGGTTTGCTTGAGTATGTGTAGGAAAATTAGTGGTTAGAGAAAATGTTACAAAATTGGAATATTAATTTTAGGATGTCTCATTTAAGTTATCAAAAATGAAGATAGATTATTTTAAGTTTTCAAGTTCCTTGGGTTTCATGACCAAGTATTATTTTAAATCATCATAACCTACATTTTTCCATCCAGTTTTTTAGAAGGAAAAACTTTATAGCCCCTTTTTTTGGGATATCATAGAACATTCCAGGCAGGATGGAAGGGGCTTTGTGACTTCTGAATGTGCCCTCTGTGGCCAGGTGGGTTTGACAGTCCATTATGAGCCCAGGCTGTAGGGAAGGAAAAATGTAGGTGTCTTTGGAGAGCACAGGCTCCCTAGTCCTCTTGCTGTTTCTCTAGAACTGACTGGAGATCTGGTTCCGTCAGCACCACACTCACCCAGTGAGCGAACCGGCCATCCCTATATGGGATCCGAACCCGTGGCCTTGGTGTTATCAGCACCGCACTCTACCAAGTGAGCCACAGGCTGGCCCCTGGAGATCTTGTTCTGTTTCAGCTTCAGTTTCTAGGTCTGACTGCGTGTGGGTCCCATGAGAATGAGGGCAGCAGGGAGGCCTCCTTTCACACGAACCCGTGGCCTTGGTGTTATCAGCACCGCACTCTACCAAGTGAGCCACAGGCTGGCCCTTGGAGATCTTGTTCTGTTTCAGCTTCAGTTTCTAGGTCTGACTGCGTGTGGGTCCCATGAGAATGAGGGCAGCAGGGAGGCCTCCTTTCACATGGGATTATGGGTGTTCTCTGTGTTGGGATCATTCAGGTGGGGCACATGCTGACCATAGAGAGCATCCTATAGAAGGTACCAAATAATCCTTTTCCAAGCCTTGCATATTTAAAAGGCTACAAGGCTAAAAAAATAAAATTTTACCCATTACCTTGCATTAACTTTCACCAGATCTATTACATTGTTTTCTGCCTGCATTCCTCTTTTTTTCTAAAGGAAAATTTAAAGTGCTATAATATCTCTGATCTGATTCCCATGTGGAGTGGGCTTGGGGATCTGGCCCATTAAAATCTGCTATTTTGAGGGAACACAGCCATTCAGGACATCATTATCTTTTACCTGGAGAAGAAGTGCAGTGGCCTCCTAATTAGTCCTGCTGCATCGATTTCTGTCCCTGTCTCTTCTGCTCTCCCCACTGTAGCCAGAATGATCTTTCTAAGAGTACGTATGCTTTTGCCATTCCTCTGCATCTGAAGGCCCTTAGGATAAAATCCACAGTCCTTCCTTTTGACCTAAAATGAAACTGAGGCCAGATACATACAGCAAGGATTTATTGAGCCAAAGTGACAGTTGCAACCAGGGAGATACATAGATCAGGCCACCCTGAAAAGCGTGTTCCGAAGAGGGCCAGCAGAGCTTAACATTTTATAATCACAAGAAGGGGGAGAAATCAAAGGAGAGAGGTAGAAGGACGGCCTTCCTAATCACTTCATCAGCTTTTCTGTTGGTTGTACATGACGTATAGATCTGAGATTGTTATTAGGTCACATCTTACATGCAGGGATCTAGCGTAAGGTTTGTAAGAAGTATCTTAGGTTATTTTATGGCTTTCTGGTGCCATTATGGCTGCTTCTAAGTAAAATGGTCTTATGGTAACATTTTTCAGGTCAGGTGGATGTGACTGCCAGTTTACCTCAAATCTCCCAAGGCGCTGTAACTTAGCTGACCTGGTCAGAGCAGATTATTTTGTTATCATTCCTATGGCTTACCACGTTCCATGTGGTCCACCTTCTGGCTCATCCTCCTGCAGCCTCACCTTTCCCCTCTCATCTGCTCCTGGCTATGCTGAACTTCTTTCTGTCCCTCCACCACAGCGCTGTGCCACAGAAATATAATGTGAAGCACATAGGTAACTTAAACATTCCTAATGGCCACATTATAAAAAAAAATAAGCAGGTGAAATTAATTTCAATAGTATATTTTATTTAACCCAATGTATATTATCATTTTACCATGAAATCAATATAAAAAGTTGAGATACTTTGCATTATATTTTTTATACTAAGTCTAATGAGATAATTTTGCATCCCTTTGTGTGT